CCCATTTCTAACTCAGCTCCTACCACCTGATGATGGAGCCATGGCAAATGGACCCATCCTGGAGGTCAGTGGCCTAGAGGGGCTCAGTGCTTGTTCACTAAAGCTGTTGTGCTCTGCAGCTCTTTGGCCTTTGAGGGAATGCTGGCAAAGCCATGGCAGGAAAACCTCTCCCTGCACTGCCTGGGTTGTTCTGGGATCACTAACCCAGACACAGGATTCTGAGCCCTGGCCTTGCACAGGAGACTCCCTGGAAGCTGCAGGGCCAGTGGGGATGTGCCAGCACTGCCCTGCTGACCAGGGACTCTTCCCAGCAGTTACAGGGGAGCCCAGTGGGCTCAGGCTTGCACCGTGGCTTCACTGTGGCTGAGAGCAGCAGGGGAAAGGAGCTGTACCTGAGATGTTGCAGTAAGCCATAATTTGGTACTCCAGTGCCTCTAAGGGTTTGAAGGTCACCTTGATTTCAGCCCAACTATATGGCTGAATTTCTCCCTCCTAGAACAGAAAAGGGACAGCAAAACATTTATCTTCAAACTTCACATTTCTTGTTTTCAACCACAGTCTTGTAAGCCTTTATTTAGAGCATCAGCGATGAGTGAACAACACAAGGAAGCACTCCAAACCCAGCTCAGCACACCGCTGGAAGCTCTCAGTGCTCAGCTGATCAGCTCCCACTCTCCACAATATTCCTACTGCTCTGACACAAGCTCTTGGTCACATCATGCTGCTGTCACCTACAGTGGGATGCAACTGCCACTGTGCACTGGTGGCTCTTGGCCTTAGATGGGCCATAGGAGGCCAACAGAGGCCATAGGAGTAACCAAGAAGAGAACATGATCCCCTTCCTTGGAAATAAAAATATTAGTTTAACCCGTTTTGAAAGAATGCAGAGGTTGGGCTTATTCTGGGGTTTACTCCAAAATGAGAAGGGATTTTGCACTGTGCAGACACCAGGCATTCAGCATCTCTCACAATGCCAGTACTCAGAATCAGGGCTCGGGTTGGTGGGAGGACGTGGCAGTTTGCTTGCACAAACAGAAAAGGAAAAGGTTTTCTGTCCCTGTGTGCAAGAGAACTCAAAAGGCCCATTTCAACGTTCCACCCTCGTGTCCATGCTCTCAGATGACACTGGAAGGGACACTCAGAAATAGTGCACAACATGGGGATGGGGATTGGCATTTCTATAATTAACCTTGGGCTGAATTTGGCCTCCAGCAAACCATTGCAAGCTTGAGGTCAGTATGTGAACTGGCAGAACTCCAACAGTCTCTGCTGAGCCCCACACACCACGTGTCGGGGGAGCCCCTGCCTACAAGAACTGCTCCCCGTGGACACTGCAAGGACAGCACAGAGCGCCCTTGAGCTCGAGCCCTGGCAGCAGAGCTCGGCTCTGTCAGGCTCCCAGCCCTGCCTTGAGCCTGCAGGGCAGAAATGCTTCCAGCAGGGAGCTCTGCAGCCGCACCAGAAACTTGATGTCCTCCTTCTCAGCACACCCAGCCAGCTGAGGATCTNCTGAGGGGCCAGGGATAGGGTGGGTGGGAGAAAGAAGAGGAAAACGGGGAGGAGGAAGACGAGCAAAATGAGGTTCTCAGCTATCACTTACCAATGGCTCAATGCAAAAAATGGCACTGGAGAACAGCATGGGGTCTTCTTGTATCTTTGCCATCTCCTCTTGGACCACATTCCTCAGGAGGGAAGTATGATCTTTACAAGAGCCCTTCTCCGTTTTTCTCTCCTCCGTGAAGTTTTCCAGGCACACCGCTTTTCGGCACCTGAGCAAGTACTGCCTGCAGCCACAGGGAGAGAAAAGGCCAGCAGATCATTTAATAAGCCACGTATTTGCAGAGGGAAGTGTGAGTGCAGGAGGGAAAGCACTTGGGGAGGAGCAGCAGCAGCTCCCCAGCAAGGGCTGACCCCAAGCCATGGGGGTCCCACATGGATCAGAGGAGAACTTGCTGTTCACTGGCACAGCAGGTAGTTTTATTCCACACTTGCGAGCTCAGGAGAGGTTTCCAAAGCCAGTATCCCTCAAGAGAACCTCCTGGCTCAAAGCCTCTGCCACAGCTGAGGGAGAATCCAGCAGCCACCTCAGTTAGCTTTTCCTACCACTGAGCTGCCAGGGGGAGGCAGATAAAAATCATGGAGCAGGACTTCCCTCGGAAGGGGAGGTGAAGCTGGGCTGCAGCTACATGTTACCAGCATTAGTCTTCCTTTCTGCCATTTTGGACCTGCCCTATTCCCTACTCTGCTTTCACAAGAGCATCCCAGAGCACTTCCAAAGGAAATGGATGAATTCAGGCACCTCATCCCTTCAGTGACAGTCAAGGTTTTAGATGCAATATGCATGAAAACAGAGGCTCTGAAAGGGGAAGGGACTTTGTTGTGCAGGAGGAAACAGCAAACTCCTGGAGAGGCCTTTTCATGATCCAGAGCTGTTTGGGTCCCATCCCAGTGCATGCTAGTAGAATGTCCTGAGAGGGAAAGGGTCCTGCACTATCTCCTCTCATAAAAAGTCCTCTCTGCTCTGAGATCTCAAAAGCTTCTCTGACAGCAGGACAGTGGCCCTGGAGCTAAAACCATCCCTAAGACCAGAAGTAAGGAAGAA